TTCCCTATGTGAGCCCTCCCCTGACCACACGGCCCAGCACAGAAGCTAAAGGGAGGCGGGCCAGCCCCACCATCTGCCCCCAGCGTGCTCCCGGGTCTCATGCGAGGACTCAGGGCCAACATTACCGTGCACTCCCTCCGGGCTGCAGCCTTTGATATTTCCAATCAGAATCTCGTCCAGGAACGGATGGAACACCACATAGCGAAAGTGAACTGGAAATGAAAGCGTGTCGGTGATGAGCAGGCCATGAGGAAAGGCTGCTCCAGCTGGGGTGGCCTGTGCTTTCCAGTGTCCACTCTCACTCACCAGCATGCTGACCCCGTGGCGACACCAAGAAGCCACACAGCAGTCCACGCCAAGTGCCCGTGGGCCTAGACCTGTTAGCTAAGCCGGAGGGACCCTCGGCCCCGTCCCCGTCAAGGCCACAACTTGGCCCCCGTTGTGAGAGGCCGGCGGCCCTGGAGCTGAGGCTCCATTCCCAAATCCATCAGTCACACCTGAGCTCAGATTCTGGGCCAGCAATGACTCCAAAGTCAATTCTAGCCTTCCTCCAGGCTCTCTCCTTTATTTATTTATTTATTTTTAAAATTACCGGGCTGCTGTTCTTTTTTTTTTTTTTTTAATTTATTTTTTTTATTTTTGGCTATGTTGGGTTCTCGTTGCTGCTCGCGGGCTTTCTCCAGTTGCAGTGAGCAGGGGCTACTCTTCATTGCGGTGCGCAGGCTTCTCATTGTGGTGGCTTCTCTTGTTGTGGAGCACGGGCTCTAGATGTGCAGGCTTCAGTAGCTGTGGCACGTGGGTTCAGTAGTTGTGGCTCGCGGGCTCTAGAGCACAGGCTCAGTAGTTGTGGTGCACGGGCTTGGTTGCTCCGCGGCATGTGGGATCTTCCTGGAGCAGGGCTCGAACCATGTCCCCTGCGTTGGCAGGTGGATTCATAACCACTGGGCCACCAGGAAAGCCCAGCCTCCCTCCTTTAAATTCTAACGAGGGCAGAAGCAACTGACAAAGAGAACCAGGTTTGGAAACAAGTTCCTGCGTCTCCCGCTGATTGGCAAAGTTTGCCCCAGGCACAGCTCTGACCGGGAACAGGACGCTAAAAATGCTTTGGAATTTGGGGTGGGGGAAGAGCCGATAAACCAGCAAAAATGCCTCTGTGGGTTCTCAGGTCCCGTCCTATGTGGTTCCTACTCACCTGACCCCAAGAAAAATATCAGGTAAGGTCTGTGCCCACATCACAGACTCTGACTCCACAGCCTGGCAGAAGCCATCACTCCATCACTGCTGCCCCTTGCTGAGCGCCTGCCCCCTGCCCTGCACACACGCGCGCACACACACGGGGTGTCCACCGAGCCCCAAAGGTGGTGTCTAGGGCCTGAATTCCGCCAGGGCTAGTAAATAACCATAAGGCTGCCCCCTGGCAGTCGCCCAGTGTCCATCACGATCCACCTGTGTCAGATGTCATGCTTCCCCAGTGTGACCATGCGCAAGTGGCTCAGAGAGGCTGAGTTACCCATTCACAGTCACACAGCTATTCTGCCAAGGGGAAACTCCAAGTCTTTCTGAACCATGAGACAGGAACACTGGGTTGAATCTGCCTTCCTCAGAAAGGGTTTAATCCCCAAACACAGGCTTCTGCTACCAGTGCCCTTAGCTGCCTGGTCTGGCAGCCTCACCCCAAGGACAGCAGGGTCCACCTGGCCCCCAGCTCCCCACCAGGCTGCTTCCCCATGGCTCCACCAGGCAGGAAAGCGTGGGAAAAGGAGAGGAGGCAGCTGGTGCCCCTCCCTCCCTGGGAGGAGACAAATACAAGCCGTCTGAGCCTTCTTAAGATGGGAGAGCCGCATGCTGACCTCGGAGAGGGTAGATGAGGGCAGATGTCACTTACGCACAGTATGGAAAACTCCTGTCCCCTGTATGACCCAATGTCAGTTCATTTTAATAAATCCCCACGGAGCCTCTGCCAGGTCTGTGCCAGGCCCGATTTGGGCACTGGGCTTGCAGGGGCAGGACGACACATGATCCTGTGCCCAGGGAGCTCAAGGCTGGAACAATTACATCCAGAAGCAAATGGTGAGCCACCCAGGTGTCTGACAACAGATCAATGTATAAACAAAATGTGATATATCCATACAATGGAAGATTATTCAGCCTCAAAAAGGAATAAAGTACTGACACATGCAACAACATGGAAGAACCTTGAGGACATTATGCTACATGAAATAAGCCAATCACAAAAGGCCACGTATTTTATGATTCTATTCATATGAAACGTCCAAAATAGGCAGATCCAGAGACAGAAAGTTGATTAATGGTTGTCAGGGGCTGGCAGAGCGGGGAGTAACTGCTAATGAGTACGGTGTTTCTTCTGGGGGTGATGAAAATGTTCTGGAATTAGCCAGTGGTTATAGTCACACAGCCTGGTGAATATACTAAAAGCCACTGTACCGTATGCTTTAAAAGGGTGAATTTCATGGTATGTGAATTATATCTCAATTAAAAAACAAAAAAGGAAGGAACTTCCCTGGCAGTCCAGTGGTTAAGACTCCACGCTTCTACTGCAGGGACCACACGTTTGATCTCTGGCCAGGGAACCAAGATCCCACATGCCACGTGGCCAAAATAAATAAATAAATAAAATAAAACAGGAGGCCACAGACCAGCTGGAGGGCCAGCTGGGATGGTGCTATGTTGCGGTCCACCTCCCAAGACCCCCATCTGAAGTTCTAGGGATGTTTAGCCTGTAGGTGGGAAGACTGGAAAGTCAAAAAGGATGGGTCTGAAGGACCAGTAAGAAGAGGAAGACCCGTTCTTAGTTGTAGGCTTGAGCAAACTTTGTCCCAGGATACGTAGGGCTGCCTCAGGATATGGTGAGTTTCAACAAAGGACAAATAACATGATTCCACTCACATGAGGTACCTGGAGTAGTCGAATTCATAGAGACAGAAAGTAGAATGGTGGTGGACAGGGGCTGGGGGGCGGGGGATGGGGAACTGTTGTTTAGTGGAGACAGAGATTCAGTTTCAGAAGACAATAAAGGGACTTTCCTGGTGGTGCACTGGTTAGGAATCCGCCTGCCAATGCGGGGGACACGGGTTCAATCCCTGGTCCGGGAGGATCCCACGTGCCGCGGAGCAACTAACCCCATGAGCCACAACTGCTGACCCTGTGTGCTGCAGCTACTGAGCCTGTGCTCTAGAGCCCACGTGCCACAACTACTGAAGCCCACACACCCAGAGCCCATGATCCACAATAAGAGAAGCCACTGCAATGAAAAGCCCACGCACTGCAACGAAGAGCAGCCCCTGGTCGCCACAACTAGAGAAAGCCCGCACGCAGCAACAAAGACCCAACACAGCCAAAAATAAATAAATAAAAAATAAATAAATAAAATAAAAATTTTAAAAATAATAAGTTAAAAAAAAAGAAGACAATAAAGTTCTGGAGATGGATGGTGGTGATGGCCACACAACAATGTAAATGCACTGAATGCCACCGAACTATACACTAAAAATGGTAAATTTTATGTTATATGTGTTTTATCACAACTTAAAAAACAAGGGAAAAGAGCAAAGCAAACGGTGGGCACAAGGACAGGCTGCTCCAGAGCCCAGAGCGGAGCCCCAGTTCAGCCAGAGGCAGGGGAAGGAGGTGGGTCCAGCCGGCCTGGCAGGCATAGAGAACACAGGGCTGGTGCGAAGGAAAGGTACCCTAAGTGACAAGGGATAAGGCTGGCTAGTCGGGGCCAGTGTCACCAGTCACAAAGCCTAACATGTCGTGAGCACCTACTGTGTGCCAGGCGCCGGACCAAAGGCCTCCCGTGGTTTTTCTCGTTTATTCCTTGCAAGGGCTGTGTGAGGCGGGTACCATTATCATTACACCGTTTTTCCAGAAGTGAGTCTCAGAGAGACAGGTAAAGTAATCTGGCCTGAGTAGAAGGAGAAATAGAAAGAAGTAGAAGGCAACTGGCAAATGAATAATCCTCTAAGCGAAGGCAGAGGCCCGCTGCGGAGCCCCGCTCAGCACACCCCTGGCCACAGCCCTGGCGAGGCAGTGGCAGGAGGGGGGCCTGGGCTCGTGCTCAGCCTCGAAGCCTGGCCACCGATCCCCACCACAGACTAACGACTCACCCTGCGCGATGCTCGACGGGCCCTGAAGAGCCTTGTAGCCGCGAGCGTTAACCCCATTTTACAGATGAGGAAAGTGTGGCTGAGGAAGGTAGTCACATGCCTGAGGTCCCCACGAAGCGGGGCCAGAGCCAGAATTCAACTCCGGGTCTGTGTGACAGGCCTAACCCTGGGCTCTACTCCTGTGCCTCGTTCCCAAGAATGCAGGGGACCCAGGGTGAAGCAGGGTGGATAAGAAAACCAGCAGTGAAGTCCTACACCAAGCAGCAGATACAACCAAATGAATGGACAGAATTTCCTCATATTTAACTTTTTTCTCTGAGTTTTCTTTCTTTTTTTAAATTTTATTTATTTATTTATTTTTGGCTGCGTTGGGTCTTTGTTGCTGCACACAGGCTTTCTCTAGTTGTGGTGGGTGGGGACTGCTCTTCGTTGTGGTGCACGGGCCTCTCATTGCGGTGGCTTCTCTTGTTGTGGAGCACGGGCTCTAGGCGCGCGGGCTTCAGTAGCTGTGGCACATGGGCTCAGTAGTTGTGGGTCACAGGCTCTAGAGCGCAGGCTCAGTAGTTGGGGCTCACGGGCTTAGTTGCTCTGTGGCATGTGGGATCCTCCCGGACCAGGGATCGAACCCGTGTCACCCGCATTGGCAGGCGGATTCCTAACCAGTGCACCACCAGGGAAGTCCCTCTGAGTTTTTCTTGAAGTTCTGGTCCCCTGACCACTTGTCTCCTGGACAGCAAGGCCCCTGCCCCACGACAGAGACTGGGCTCAGAGCCCTCATGGCCTTGTGTCCACATCACTGACTGGTCTTTCTGCTAACGAAACCGTCCTGGTCCCCACACGCAGCTCTCCACAGAGTTCGATGACATCCGTGAGAACTAATTAAGTCTCTAGATTCCTGGACACACACCAGGCAGCCTCACGGCACATTCTGGAATGCTCGGACATCTCTGTGCTGAGGCTGACGCCCCCAGTATGGGCCAGGGCAGGGCTCCTGAAACGTGGCCTTGTGTGAGAATCCCTGCAGGCCCCTCCCCAGAGATTCTGACTCAGAGGGTCTGGGGCAGGCGGGCGAGCACCCAGCAGACGGCGAGAGGCATGCCTGCACCCCGACTAGCCCCGGACCACCTCAATGGCACCCTTGCCCTCTGCTTCTGATCTGGTTTGTCCAGGCAGGGGAGAGAACACCCCGCTTCCTCCCTGAGCCCTCTCCTCAAGGTGACCCGCCCTCTACTCCTCCCTCCCATCGGGGGTGCACATCCCTTGCCAATGTGACCGCAGCCCCTCCCATCCAGAGGAAGCCCTTCTCCATCCTTAGACTCTGGCCTCGGCCATGTGACCTGCTCTGGCCAATGGGATATAAGCAGAGGCCTGATAAGCATCTGTGCTTCGGTGCCCAGTCTACCTACTGAAAGAGGACACCACACCGAGCAGAGCCGTGAAACCCAGCCAGAGCCCCCCATCCAACCAGTCTGTCAACCACCAGACACATGAGACCACCCTATACCATCCAGCCCTGGCCAAGCCAGCCCAGAAGACCACCAAAGAGCTGACCCACAGCATCGGAGAAACAATTCAAATCGATGAGCTGTCAAACACTCGCTCTGTGCCAAGGTCCTGTCCTGAGAGCTTTGTACATATTAACTTAGTAATTCTCACAACAATAAAGTCTACTGTTAAAAAATAAAAAAATAAAGTCTGTTAACTGCATTTTACTGAAGAGGAAACAGAGACACAGAGAAGTTACATGTTCTGCTCAGGACACACAGCAAGTAAGTAGCAGAGCTGGGATTTAAACCTAGAGGCCACACTTTTAACCATTAGGTCTTGGTGTCCCTCAAAGTCTCCCACCCCCAACCAGCCACCTCCCCAAGACGGGCAGCTGTGCTCCCCTCCGCTCTCCCCACTTTTAAGCTAGCAATGCCTACTCCAATTGTCTTCCACTATCTGTCCACCCACCCTACCCGAGCAGCCTGAGAGCCAGGCAGAGCAGGGCTCATATAACACACAAGACCAAAGGGGACACAGACACAGAGCCACAATCTCAGAGCTGGAGAAGCCTTGAGAATCACCTTGTCTACCTCCCCTTCTTATAGATAGGAAACTGAGGCCCAGAAAGGGGAAGATTCTGCCCATGGTCACCCAGTAAATTCCTGGCAGAGTCAGGACTAGGCCCCAGGTCTCCCAACACCCTGACCAGGACTCCCCCTACAGAAAACTGAGCCCCAAGAAGCCCAGTGCCCAGAAGGAGGGCACCCACCTTTGGTGTGTGATGCACCGTCCCCCGGGAACACATAGGCGTCCTCCAGCTTGGTGATGTCAAACAGGCAGATGCAGAGTCCCACGTTGTACACGACCTGTGGGCATCCGTGTACACCGCCCGTGACCTCGAGGCCCAGCTCCCTGCGTAGTCTCTCCTAAGATCCAACGGGCAGCTGTGCTCCCCTCCGCTCTCCCCACTTTTAAGCTAGCAATGCCTACTCCAATTGTCTTCCACTATCTGTCCACCCACCCTACCCGAGCAGCCTGAGAGCCAGGCAGAGCAGGGCTCATATAACACACAAGACCAAAGGGGACACAGACACAGAGCCACAATCTCAGAGCTGGAGAAGCCTTGAGAATCACCTTGTCTACCTCCCCTTCTTATAGATAGGAAACTGAGGCCCAGAAAGGGGAAGATTCTGCCCATGGTCACCCAGTAAATTCCTGGCAGAGTCAGGACTAGGCCCCAGGTCTCCCAACACCCTGACCAGGACTCCCCCTACAGAAAACTGAGCCCCAAGAAGCCCAGTGCCCAGAAGGAGGGCACCCACCTTTGGTGTGTGATGCACCGTCCCCCGGGAACACATAGGCGTCCTCCAGCTTGGTGATGTCAAACAGGCAGATGCAGAGTCCCACGTTGTACACGACCTGTGGGCATCCGTGTACACCGCCCGTGACCTCGAGTCCCAGCTCCCTGCGTAGTCTCTCCTAAGATCCACCCCCCCCCCCCCCCACCCCCCCGCCAGGCAGGTATGATTATCCCCATTTTACAGCTGGAAATGCATTGGGGCACTGCCTGAGGTAAGGAACTCGGGGAGGATGCTGAGCTCTGGAAAGAACAAGGTCTTTGGTGACATGACGGATGCAGGTTACAATGCCAGCTCCACCACTCCCTGTGCGACCTCCAAGGTCACTTCTCTGAGCCTCAGTTTCCCCATCTGCAAAAATGACATACCAGGCTGTGGGGTTGTTAAATCAAGAGAACAGCTGCGAAGTACCTAGCTCAGTAGCCAGCTCACCTGCTAGAAATAACAATCACCAATCAAGGATCATTATCATTACTAATAAGGATCAGTGGTGGGGAACCCCTGGTTAAACCTACACTTTCCAAGGCCCCAGTTCCATACTAGAGCTCACAGTTTAAAGTGTCAGACCACAGCTAATCGCTGTTCTGCTCACAAAGTCTCGGACACACAGACGGGGCCACAGGGACTGAGGCTGGCAGAGTGACACATAGGAGGCCCTGAAACTGGGCAGAGAACAGGCAGAGGACATCCCATGACCCATCTCCACTCCAGGATGCTGCAAAGGACTAGCCGCTTGGTGTCTGTTTATCTGACACCAGCGTCATCACCTCCCAATTAGAGACCTTGCAGGACTGTTCAAGGATTAGCAAGAAGCTCAGAGAACTCAGAGTCCTGGCCTGACCTCAGGGCAATGAGGCAGAGTCGGCTGGCTTTGGAAGCACAGGGAAATGTGTGCCCTTGGCTGGACCTTGGACCTCTTCTGTGTGGCCTCCTCTCAAATGACTCAATGACTCCAATACAGAAATACTTGTCTGGGAATTCCCTGGCAGTCCAGCTCTTTCACTGCTGAAGGCCCGGGTTCGATCCCTGGTCAGGGAACTAAAATCCTGCAACCCTCGCAGCGTGGCCAGAAAAAAAGAAATATTTGTCTGAACAGGTCAGAGAAGGACCTGCATTACAGAAGGACTATATACCTTTCTTATAACTTTCACACCTTTTCTCTTTGTCCTTTAGAGGCCCCTTCTCCTTTTACCTCACAAAGTAATCAGACACCATCCACTAAGGACTCCATGAGTTCTCTCCACCAACAACAAATCCCCAGGTCTGTACACTCCACCTTCTGTGATTTCAGGCTCTATGGAAGGGACCTGCCTCCTGCCTACAGCCAGCCAATCATCCTCCGGCTCTCTCCTTCTCAGCCTACCACCTCCTGTTGTTCTACAGATGAAGACCATTATTCGATGAAGTCCTGCAGACCCTGTATGACCTGGTTCCCACCACTTTCCAGCCTCTCCTCTCTTTGTGCGCTCAGGCCACACCAGCCCCTCCATGCCATGATAGATGCGATATTTCCTCCTGCCACAGGGCCTTTGCACATGCTGTTTCTGCTTCCTGCACAGCTCTACTCTCTGCCCAGAACCTCCCCCCCAAAAAAAAAACAAATCCCCTATGTTAGTTCTTCCTCACCACCAGATCTCAGCTCAAGCACCACCTCCCTAGCAAACCCTCTTGTCTCCCTCATTGTAGGTGAAGTTCCTTCATTCCACAGGCTTGTGAACAGCTGTTCTCATAATATTTACCTCAACTTCTCATCACACACTCAACTGTGGGAGTCTCTCATCCATATCAGCTTTCCCCACCACACTACAGAGCAGAAGCTTGTCTGTTTTATTCATTTAATAAATAATTATGGAACATCTACTCTGTGCCAGACTCTGGCTAAATATGGGGGATACCATGGGGAAGAAGACAACAGTCACTTGCCCTCATGGAGAGGGAAAGAGAAAAACAGTCCATGCCATGATAGATGCGATATTTCCTCCTGCCACAGGGCCTTTGCACATGCTGTTTCTGCTTCCTGCACAGCTCTACTCTCTGCCCAGAACCTCCCCCCCAAAAAAAAAACAAATCCCCTATGTTAGTTCTTCCTCACCACCAGATCTCAGCTCAAGCACCACCTCCCTAGCAAACCCTCTTGTCTCCCTCATTGTAGGTGAAGTTCCTTCATTCCACAGGCTTGTGAACAGCTGTTCTCATAATATTTACCTCAACTTCTCATCACACACTCAACTGTGGGAGTCTCTCATCCATATCAGCTTTCCCCACCACACTACAGAGCAGAAGCTTGTCTGTTTTATTCATTTAATAAATAATTATGGAACATCTACTCTGTGCCAGACTCTGGCTAAATATGGGGGATACCATGGGGAAGAAGACAACAGTCACTTGCCCTCATGGAGAGGGGAAGAGAAAAACAGTAGCCAAGTAAACAAATAAGAAAAGAGTGGTAAGTGCTAAGAAGGAACGAGTGATATGGCACAGAATAACTGCAGAGGCAGGGCTGCTTCAGAAAAGGCCATGGGAAGGCCTCTGAGGACCCAGCACTAAGGCATGCTAGCCTGGCACATAAAAGGTGCACAAACATTTTTTTGCAGGAATGAATGGATAAACCTCCTTACAGCTAAACTACCATCCATCTTCACAGAAACAATGCGTGGTTGGACAGCAATTATTATTTCCATTTTACAAATGGAAGTTGAGGCCCAGAGGGGGTAAAGGACTCGCCCTAGATTGCAAAGTAATTTGGAAGTGGGGACGCTAGCAATTCCCAGTTACAAGGCCTTTTTCAAACCCAGTTTTTCTTTTGATTCCTGCCAGCATCCTAGTGGGTTAAGGATTACCCCCATCCCATGCACAGGCTTAGAAACCGAATTCTGAGACGTTACGCTATTTGCCCAACTCCAAGGCTTGGCATGGCCAGGCCGGCAGCGGTCGGGTAGGCAGTGCTGGGCCCTCCCGTGCCAAGGCCTGCCCGCGACCCCGTGGACCCAGTACCTTGTTGGCCAACTTCTTGTTCAACTCCTCGGCAATGGAGTCGTTGAGCTTCCTCTCAAATTGCCACGGGGGGATCCGCACGGTGTCTACCATCTCCACCAGGACGAACATCCCGGCCTGCGCGGGGGGCTCTGGGAACGGGTGGGTCAGTCACGCACCGGGGCCTGGGGCAGTGGGGATCCCCGAGCCCGCTCCGTCCCGTTCCAATAGCTGTGACCAGCCCCCAGGCCAGCAATGGGGCTGCACCGTAGGTGTGTCCCGTGCGGGGCGTGCTCCGCTACTACAAAGAGAGGAAAATGAGGCTCAGCCGCAGGGTCTCGGGGTCGAGCGGAAGGGGTGCGCGGCCAGCCACACACAGCCCTCGCCAAGCGCCACCGCCACGCACCGCGAACCCACACGCACCCAGCGGCGGCTAGACTTTAGGCGAGACTCCGAATCCGGTAGCTTCCGGAGGACCGACCAATAAGAATCCTCGGCCCGCCCCCCGACGCGGGGCGGAGCTGTCTACCGGCTCGTGCGCGGGGCGGGGCGGGGGAGGGGCCTGGGTGGTGTAGGGTCGGGTGGGGCCTTGCCTGCCGCCGGCGCAGCTGTCAACCCTCCGACAACGCTCTCAGGTTGCTAGGCGACCTCGGTGCAATCCAGTCATCTCTCGCCCAGCCGGTAAGTACTCTCCTTGCTGGCCTCGGGCCGTCCTCTAAGCTGCAGCCAGAGTGATCATTTCAAAACGCAAACACAGTATGCTTAGACCCTACAGTACTCTGGAAACGGAGAGAATTGACTGGTGGGACCTTTCTCGGATGATAGAAATGTTCTGTATCCTCTTTTAGCGGCTGGTTACAGAGATGTACATAATTGTATATATTTGTATATAATTGTCAAAACCCATCCAGCTCAACACTTAAGATCTTTGCATTTGATTTTAGGCAGATTACATCTCAACTGAAAAGTAATAATATATTGGGACAAACAAAACAAAACAAAAACCTCAGTGACAGGACTTTCCCGGTGGCGCAGTGGTTAAGAATCCACCTGCCAATGCAGGGCACACGGGGTTGAGCCCTGGTCCACATGCCGTGGAGCAACTAAGCCCGCGTGCCACAACTACTGAAGCCCGTGCGCCTAGAGCCCGTGCTCCGCAGCAAGAGAAGCCACCGCAATGAAAAGCCCACGCACTGCAAGGGAGAGTAGCCCCTGCTCTCCGCACCTAGAGAAAGCCCGCACGCAGCAGCGAAGACCCAATGCAGCCATAAATAAATAAATAAAATTTTAAAAAGTATTTAGGAGATCATTATTTCTTCCTCTCAAATATCTCTCAAATTTTCCTTCTTCATTCCATTCCCACAGCTACTGCCCTGAGGGCCTTTTCATTGCTGCCCTGGAGCTTAGCCACCACACATCCCAGCTCCTGCCCTCAAGTCCTTCCTGCAACTGACCCCCCACACGGTCACAAAAGCCTTCCCTTCATGAATATCTTTTGTCCACGCAGAAATTCTGGACTAAACCCAGCCTTCCTCTCCAGCCTCACCTCCCTTCTGTCCTCCTGGCACTGGGAGTTTCCAGCCCGAAGGATGGAGGAAGCCATTTTATATAGCCCAACCTTGAACCCTTTTTTTTTTTTTTTTTTTGCGGTACGCGGGCCTCTCACTGTTGTGGCCTTTCCCGTTGCGGAGCACAACAGGCTCCGGACGCGCAGGCTCAGCGGCCATGGCTCACGGGCCCAGCCACTCCGCGGCATGTGGGATCTTCCCGGACCGGGGCACGAACCCGCGTCCCCTGCATCGACAGGCGGACTCTCAACCACTGCGCCACCAGGGAAGCCCTTGAACACTTCTTTACCTGAAAAACTCCTACTCATCCATTGGAACCCAAATGTAATACCTTTCTCATTCATTCACCCAACACACTATTTTACAGCTGTTAGAGATCCAGTGGGGAAGAAGAACTGGTTCCCAGGCCCAGCTTCAGCTCAGAGGGGGTGCAGGGAGGAGAGGGAGGGCGGGGCCAGAGGATTTGATGCTCTCTCAGGGATCCAAAAATTTATAGGGGAGATGAAAACTGGTGAGACTGGAGACCTAGGCAGGGTCCAGATCACAAGGGCCTTATTATTATATTATCCATTAACTTTTAATCCTCAAGACAGCTGTATAAGGTAGGAGCTATTACCATTGTTTTCTAATTTATCTCATCGTCATTTATCTCATCTCATTTTGCCTCACCTAAAGCAAAGAGGGTTTAAGTGGGTCGTTCTAAGTCACACAGCTAATAAGTGGCAGAGCTGGGATTCAGGCTCCAGAGCCCATGATCATCCTAACCACTGGGCTATGCTGCCACCACATTAGCCCAAGGGCAGCACCTTCTAGGTCAGAACCGGGAAATGACATAGTGACACATCAGCTGGAGGGACAGAGGATGGGAAGGGGCTGGTGTGGAGACAAGAACACCAGGGAGGAAATTACTGGGTGGCCCCTGAAAGAGAAGACCCAAGCAAGCTGGTAGCCATGGAGAGCAAAGTTGGGCCGAGTCCAGAGGTCTTCAGGGGGTGCTCTCAGAGATAGGGTGGAGGACCTGTGGACGGAAGTGGGAAGAGCCAATGCCTAAGGCCTTTCACTGAGATGGGAAACTGGAAGAGGGCCAGGCTCAGGGGATGAAGCCAGAATTGCAGAGTTCCCAGGCTTTTTTATAGTAGTCAGCTCATAGGACTGCAACAGTGATTTGTTGGCACGATTGCTTTCCTCATTAGTTAAAACAAGGACCAGGCTTCTTTATTAATTCTCTGCGTCCTTCCACAGAAGCTTTGAGGTAGCTTACAAAGACTTAGTCTGCAAGCCCCTCGACAGCAGAGGACTTCTCTGTCCTGTCCCTCTGCATCCTCAGGGCCTAGCCCTGTGCCTGGCACAAGGTCAGCGCTTGTAAATATGTGCTATTTGAACGAACAAAAGGAGAGCAAAATAATTGCTAAGAGTGTAGGAGTGAAGGAGAAATAGGGTTGGAAACTAATCCGGGAGGATGAGGAGAGAGCAGTGGTGGTTAAGGGCATGGAGTTCCCACGCCGCAGCTCACTAGCTAGCAACCATGGTGGAGCCGGTGAACCTCTCAGCGCCTCCTTGCCTCTCTGTAAAATGGAGATAATGATAGAACCCATCTCAAATGATTGTCCATCAGTGGAAGACTGGATGAAAAAATATACATGGTGTACCATAGAGGGAAATAATGCAAAGCCATGAGAAAGGATGCAAATGCTCTCTGTGTCTTGAGATAGAATGATATTCAGAATATATTGTTAAAAAATGCAAGGCACAGAGTGGTCTATATGGGATGTTACTATTCATATAAAAAGGAGAAAAATAATACTGTGTGTGTGTGCGCGCGCGTGCACAAGTGTGTGCTCTGGGACTAATTACGCTGGCTGTCTCCAGGGCAAGGAACTGAATGCCTGAGGGGTGTGGGAGAGTGACAGGGGTAGGAAGGAGAATTTTTTTTTCAAATGCCCTTCAGAATCTTTGATGTTTGGGATCATAGGAACATATTACCTATTCAAATTAAAAACTGAATAAAATTCAAATTAAAAAAGCAATTAAGGGCTTCCCTGGTGGCGCAGTGGTTGAGAGTCCGCCTGCCGATGCAGGGGACACGGGTTCATGCCCCGGTCCAGGAAGATCCCATATACCGCGGAGCGGCTGGGCCCGTGAGCCATGGCCGCTGAGCCTGCGCATCCGGAGCCTGTGCTCCACAACGGGAGAGGCCACAACAGTGAGAGGCCCGCGTACTGCAAAAAATAAATAAATAAATAAATAAAATTAAATTAAAAAATAAAAATAAAAAAGCAATTAAAATTTTTTTCACTTCTTAAAAAAAAACCCTCTCGGCCCCCTTTCCCTCCAGCTACTGCCCCATCTTCTGCTCCCTTTAACCAGCAAAACCCCTTGAAGGAGTCATCTGCATTTGCTGTTTCCAAATCCTCTCTTCTTGTACTCTCTTTAACCTGCTCCCGTCAGGTTTTTGGCCCTACCTCTCAACCCAAGCTGCTTTTTCAAGGTCAACAATGGCCTCCACTTTGGCAAATCCAGTGATAATTCTCAGTCCTCAAGGGCAGCGTTTATCCCAGCTGATCACTCCCTCCTCCTTCACACACCCGGATCCTCTTCCCACCTCCCAGTTTCCTCCACCCACCTCTAAACTGGCGGACTCACCTGCGCAGTCTACAAACCTACCTGCTCACATGCCCATTTGGCAACTCAAGCTTAACCTGGGCCAAAATGGCGCTCCTGGTCGTCTCTCCCCCACAAACCTGCTCCTATCCTATCTGACTTTCCATCTTCAAAAAGGACTTTGTCCTTGGGCTTCCCTGGTGGCACAGTGGTTAAGAATACGCCTGCCAATACAGGGGACACAGGTTCGAGCCCTGTTCGGGGAAGATCCCACATGTTGCAGAGCAACTAAGCCCATGCACTACAACCACTGAGCCTGTGCTCTAGAGCCCATGTGCCACAACTACTGAGCCTGCGTGCCACAGCTACTGAGCCCGTGCGCCTAGAGCCCATGCTCCGCAACAAGAGAAGCCACTGCAATGAGAAGCCTGCACACTGCAACTAAGAGTAGCCCCTGCTCGCCGCAACTAGAGAAAGCCCGCACACAGCAACAAAGACCCAACTCAGCCAAAAATAAATAAATAAATTTATTTAAAAAAATAATAAATATGTTTTAAAAAATGCCCTCCACGGAGGCAGAGGCATAGCTGAGGACCACCGGGGATGGTGATTCTAGAAGGGACCTAAACAAAGCATCCCAGGACATTGCTCTCTGTTCTGGTTTGAGCCAAAAGCAAAGTACAGAAAGTCAATAGGTATTTGTTAGGGCTGCTGTGCATGAGGGCTAGTGCTACAGCAAGGGGGACCAACAGGAAATGGGGAAACAGATACAGATCACCTCAGGCACTGCTGCTGAGAAAGCAGCAGTAATCACATGCATAATGTGATAGCAAGTGAGTGAGAACTGCTCCTCTGGCCAAGGTGGTCAGGGACAGCCTGGCTCAGAAGGTGAGAGCGGAGGTGAGCACTAAGGGTTGAGGAGGCTGGAGGCCCAAGGTCCAGGAGCACACATCTGTGGACAGATGGCTGATAGAGGCCTGGCTC